AAGGAGGGAGGGAGAGAGTGGTGAATGAGACAGGAGGGAATTGGAGCAGGAAAGTAAACACAGCGGGTTGTAGAAGAAGTGAGGTGATGTAGATGAGATTTATTAAGGTGCACAGTTGCGAGAAGGGAAGTCAAGCAAAGATGAAGGTATTGAAAGGGAGAGGAGGTATGGGATGACATGAAGAGGGGTTGAAAGACTGAGAAGGGAAGATAGAGGGCATGCAAATCAATCGGGCGTTGACATTTACAGGTTCTTATGCATCTGTGAACTAACAGAGACTAAAACATGAGTAAAAACTATTTTACTTTTTTTATTGTTATTTATGGAATAGTTTGACATTTTGTGAAATACGCCTTTTCACTTTCTTGCTCAGAATTAGATGAGAACATTGACACCACTCTCATATCCATCCATGAATATGAAGCTACGACTAGCAGCTTAGCTTAGGTTCACAAAAGGACTAAAGCCAAGGGGAAATAGCTTCCTTGGCTCTGTCCAAAGGTCAAATACAAAAATCCACCTGACCCTCTAGAGTAGACTGCACGCTAGTATCTTCGATTCTATTATCAAGGCAGCAGAATAAATTTGTTGTTCTAGTTGTGTAGATTACCAGCACCTCCAAAGCTCACTACATGAGTCTGTTTCTCAATATGTCTTAACTATCCCATTAAAAAAAACCATATCTGACTTGTTCATAAGTGGTTTTACAGGGGGTTATACACTCTTTATTAGGCACACCTTGCTAGTACTGTGTTGGACCCCCTTTTGCCTTCATATCTGCCTTAATTCTTCGCGTCATACTTTCAACAAGGTGTTTGAAACATTCCTCAGAGACTTTGGTCCATATTGACATGATAGCATCACGCAGTTGCTGCAGATTTGTCGGCTGCACATCCATGATGCGAATCTCCTGTTCCACCACATCCCAAAGAGGCCATTGGAGTACAGTGAACTCATTGTCATGTTCAAGAAGCCAGTTTGAGAAGATTTGAGCTTACACCACCAACCTGAACTGTTGACACAAGGTAGGATGGATCCATGCTTTCATGTTGTTTACGTCAAATTCTGACCCTACCATCTGAATGTCGCAGCTGATATCGAGACTCATCTGCCCAGGCAACGTTTTTCCAATCTTCCATTGTCCAATTTTGGTGAGCCTTTGTGAATTGTAGCCTCAGTTTCCTGTTCTCAGCTGACAGGAGCTTCACCCGGCGGTGTGGTCTTCTGCTGCTGTAGCCTATCTGCTTCAAGGTTTGGCGTGTTGTGCATTCAGAGATGGTACTCTGCATACCTTGGTTGTTTTTTTTTGAGTGACTGTTGCCTTTCTGCCATCTCGAACCAGTCTGCCCATTCTCCTCTGACATCAACAAGGAATTGTCGTCCACACAACTGCCGCTCACTGGATATTTTCTCTGTAAACCCTAGAGATGGTTGTGTGCACCAGCAACCACGCCACATTCAAAGTCATTTAAATCCCCTTTCTTCCCCATTCTAATTAAATAAATGAGATGTGTGTTTACAACATTTTAGAGGTGCTGTTCAGTGGATTCATTTTTTTTGCTTGTTTTGTCTTTTTGGACAAACTGGACAAACTAGCAGTTTGTGCTAAGCAAAGCTGACCTCACTCTGCTGTAGCATCATATTTAACGGACAGACATGGGTGGTATCGATCTTCTCATCTAACTTAGCAAGAAAACAAATGTGTTTTCGAAAATGACCGACAATTCCTTTAATTAGATCAAATCTTGCTCTGATATTTTGATAAATTACATGGACGTTCTCTGTGTCAGTGCTAACAACTATTTGGTAGCAATTAACTTTTTCAAGTCGCAATGACTGTTTGAACAACATCAGGAAGTACTTCCCTTTAGTTGTTGATTTGACAGGCCAGAGCCTTGTCTGGACAAACCACAGGAAGATAATGAGACCTAATAGGTGTCATAGGCTTTAGGGACAATGAGCAGTACAACTACATGCTGGGATAAAATAGATCAGAGGCGGGGGCCCTGTCATCTTATGTCAGTCACTGGCTGATGTACAATGGCCCCCGGTTACAATTAGAGTCCCGTGTGCTGTGTGTGGAAGTATGAGTGAATGCACATGCCTGTTATTAACCCTTAACCCCCATCGAGAGCTAGCATGGAACTCATAGTTTTTAATATGTATTTACTCGATTCTTTCCTTGGCAGGGCAGAGACGCTGCCCATCAGAGTGACATGTCAGGACTGAGGAAAGAGCTTGAGCATTAATGCTCAGTCAGTATACGGTTGTATATTGCTGTATGCTGCACTGAAGACTACTTCCTGCCCTCAGTGACACATGAGTAATAAAAAGATTTTAAAGAAATAGCTAATGGCAAAGAACACTAGCCCTTCTCCAAATAGGACATGGTTTGCAAAACAATATCTGACTTTATGATCATTAATGAGGAACTCTGTGGGTCATGTTTCATTTTATTTATCAATCGCTGTATATGCTGTTTTAGTTTTTTAACTGAATCAAATGTTTTACTGATTATTTAGATCTAATGTGAGAACTTGTTGCCATTGTTATTGTCATGATTAGTAGTTTTACATTATGATGCAATGTTTACATGTGTGGACCCCAGGGAGAGTAGTTGCTACTTTGATAGTGGCTAATGGGGATCCAAATAAATACATAAATAAAAATAATAAACAAATAAGGGTGCTGAACCATACAGAATGAATCACTGATCTATTTGACCCTAGCAGCTTTGAAATGGCAGCCTTCAAAAATGTGCAGAAGAAGTGCACTTTGTTTTAATCTTTGTACATTGACGACATTTCATCTCTGAGTATTTGATGTATCAAAAGTCAGTGTGTGTGTAGCGTCATAGACAAACAGGCTGGGCTGTTTTTGCAGCACTCTAGTTCCCTCTTCTGGCAAGCAGATCTACCAGTAATATCAAGTAAATCATAATATTACTTACAACACAGCCACTTAATGACCTTCTGCTGTACCATAGTGCTCATGAGAATTTAACCTCTCACTACTGAGCTCTGGTCATGTAACGATCATCAGGGTATTTAGCTAACCATACTAGCAAATTATCTTAAGTAAGATAAAGCAGAGGCATTTTTTCAATGACATTTTTAGACTATGTAGCATTACTAGTGTAGACACACACAGAGCCATTAATTAACACTTACTATGAAGGGAACAATATATTTATTCAACTCTGTGTTCTTTTTAAAAGTTGTCTTTCCTGTGCAGATGTGAAGTTTTCCTATCAACTGTGACTGAGTTTGCATTTATTTTTGGTTTTACAAGGACTAGGCCAGTGTTTTCCAATCTAGGGGTTGATGTTTATTTTTCAGACCTTTCTTTAATCTTTACTTTTTTTATTGTGAACTACTGGATAGTTTAATCTCTCCTGGCTTACATGCTTACAAGTACAAAAAAAACTAATACGGAAAAATCTGTTGGGATTGAACTCACGATCCCAAGTAGATGTTGCTTCTTATTAAGGGGTCACAAACAAAAAAGGTTTCGGGAACCACTGGACTAGACTATATCCAGAAAATGCTTGCATTTTCTACTCTGCATATTCTACTGTCTCAAGATATTTTATGGACAACACAAACAGACGCCCCATGCATTGCACTACTAGGCGAGATCAGCTTTAACATGCATTCTGACTGTATTAAGATTTTCTATATTCTCCTGCATTTATGCTATGGTATAAAAGAGTTTGCTGCTCAGTTGGTTTTGTAAGTGTAGAGCAGCAGAAAGGAGAGGATGCTGCTGTGGAGCAGCAGGAGGACTTGGCAGCAAGGTGTTGGAAGGTAAAGCCAGAGCAGACCAGCCTGATCGGCGTGCAGACCAGCCTGATCGGCGTGCAGCCAGCGCACGTGTGATAGCAGAACCTTGTGTTCTATACCGAGCAGGTGCAAAGGCCTTGTCTGTTCTCTTTTCATCCATCCCTTTCTCAGCGATGGAGCTTGGCTCTCTGTCTCTCTGAGGTTCAGCTCTTTGTCTGCCAGGTGATACACTCCTCCCTGTCTCTCTGTCCATCTCTCCATTTCCATCCTAGCACCCCCCCACACACACTCCCCCGTATCATACTTCATTTGCTCCAGATAACACATCAGCTTCAACGCCCATCCACAAACTCTGTCACCATGATGCCCACAGATGGTAACTTCCTGTGGTCCTGCCCAGTGATTGGTGAAGAGACTTCCAAACAGAGAACAGCTGGTGAGGGATGATATATCACCGAGCATTTGCACTTTCATTTTCAGGGTTGTCTTGTTAATGCTCCCAATCCAGCATCTGGCAGGAAATAGACACAAAGGCAGAGAGAGGGAGAGAACAACCTGTTCTTTGGCAGACCTCAACAAAAGGCTGACACATGTCTGATGAACAGACAGAGCATCCGTGAATATGAAGGAAAGATGCCTAATGCATGTAAAACAAAGGCTAAGAGGATGTGGACACTCTCTACAAAAGGTTGTTGTTAAGAGAATGAAATGATAAATATACCTCCAGAGGATCAGAAAAACAGCATTAAGTTATTGTATGACTTGAGCTATTAATTCATCCATATAGGAAGGTCAGAATAATGTAAAAATTAAAAATGAACAAAGATCATACACTTGGTATAGTGTATTTTGCTTGCCTCTGTTTATCGCTTATATGAATTATTTCCATGAAATAGTACATGTTAACACAAGGGAAAAACATTTGTGTCATCTTTTGGTTTTAGTTATCCTTAGAAAAAGATGTTACATTTTTCTTTTTCATGTTTTGCAATTTATTTTAGAACTATAATTTCTTGTTTAACTAACACTCATGATTTCTGAACATCCTCTTCTCCTATACTGTCAGTCTCCCTGGTAATGTAAAGGAGAAATATACACTTTCAACACCAGAGGGAGCCATTTCACAACCAAATGGGCCAAAAGACTTCATGGTTTGTTTTCTGATGCAAAGATTTTAATATTTCAGTACATTGGTGTGAATGAATGAAGAGAGCAGAATCACAAAAAACAACAACCTTTAATACCTGGTGTCACAGTGTTAGTGGGACTGTAGATATACTGAGATGAGTCTATGTTGTACAGAACTGATCCAAATATGCCATTTTACAATGTTGATACATCTCTGTGTCACCCGGGTCGATGAACTTCCAATTACTGACAAATCTAGAGACATTGTTTACCATTTTGATATACAGAAGTCTTGCGTACGGACAGCATTTCCTCTGAAAACAATCCACTGAGGTGACCAATCAGGCCTGAAGAAGTCCACTCTTAGAACTGATAATGCAAATACCACAAACTATGATGCAACACAGGCGTATAAAAAATTTAACGTAACTGACACATGAAGCCAGCCTGCAACGTTGTAGATGATATGGCTGAACATATAACATACTCTCTTAAAAAAAACAAAAGGAGACGGAAGATATAACAAAATCAAAAAACAACTAAAAAACAGACAGCTAGGTGACAATGCTACCATTCCAAAGATCTTTAGAGGCTACAATATTGTAATAATTAACATGTAGACGTCAGAGAAAAATCATGCAGCTTCATTTCTTGACCTGACAGATTATAAAATATAAATGGCTGCTTGTAACCAAACTTTATCTTAGGATAGGTGAAAAGTAGTTCTAAACTAGTTTAAAATAATCTTCACCTTGCTTCCCAAATCTTAGAGGCAAGCCCTTAACGCCGCCAAACTCTCCCATTCAGACACTTGTGCTGATGTTTCATCCCCTTAAGTGGTTATATGGGCCTTTATATTGAGCCCTGACAAGCCTCTTCTGGCCCCAGTGTAGAAAACAATTTTGCAATGTCAAACTGCAGTGATTGTAATAATTGCTGTTTGGCCCTTTTATGTTTGTTGCATAATACAGTATCTACCTGTTCTGTGGTGCCAGCAAATATAGATGGGAAAAAAAAGCTGAGTTAAAAATGGAAGTGGCCACGATTTTGTTGACTTTTGTTTGCGCCAACTCAAGGCTTTGATGATTGGGATATTTTTTTGTTTAAATTAACATTTTGCACTATTTGAAATTAATCTTTACCCTGGTGATATCAGAGCCCAGATACATTACACTGTGAAACCCCTTAAAAAGTACAGATGCAATCAGACTTTTTCTATTGAGTTGACATTGATTTTCAGCTGCTACACTCCTCAGCAGGCACCATCTCTCTCACACACACACACACACACACACACACACACACACACAATCAAGAAGTAAAACAATGAAACCCATATACAGTGCAGCATTTACATACATAAAGAAGCGTTAAAATATTTTTCCACCCTGTAAAAACTGTTAATACACTACAAATACATGGTTAAAATGCACATATAGTAGACGGCTCCGTTTCCCTATCCCTTCCAGGAAATCTGCTTGGCACGATTGTCATTAAAACAACATAAGTTTGTGGAATCAAACTGTTTTTGGGGAAAGCACCAAACTTCAAAAGGTAGAAATTGGACTGGCGTTTATATCAAATAATCGTGCTCATACAACACATGAGGTCAGTGTGAAAGCAACACAGGCTACATGTAAGGTACTCTAAATTTAAGGCTTCTAATAATAAGGTTTATCATACTGAATATTGGGAGCTAAATTTATGAGGACAGGAGTGAGTTGCAGATTAGCTACTGTTTTGGTAAATGTAGCCACACCTCTCATTAAATGCTACATGGACACTGGCAATTTACACCAGAAGGGAGGGGAATGTGAGCAGTAGTAAATGGCTTTCTCAGAACATTAGAATGGCGAAGTATGGTAACAAAAAAAAACGATTTGACCTAACACATGTGCACCTTGAAATAATTACTTAATAACTAAATGGTTTACATTTTTTCCATTTAATAACTTAATATCGTCTAGCTGTTTTTTGTGAAGCTTTAAATGTGCTTTAAACTTTAAATATAGCTCAAAGACAGATAACAGAAACATATATGATGAAAATAAAATGGATCACTTCTGAATAATTCCCTGATTAAACAAAAGCCATGATATGCACATGTATGGTGACATTCTGCTGCTTTCACTATATGGACCTACTCATGACATACACTTGATTATGATCAATCCATAGCCTTTTAAGAATGGTAATGTACAAACTTGCATAGATAAAGTGATATAGTATAGAGCAGCTTCATAATTATGTGCCCAAAAGTGGAACATTCTTTTTATATTTACTCTAAAGGCTCTTCCGACATCCCTGTGAGGAATAGCTGCTTGTTGTTGGAGGTCTAACTACCAACACAACAAAACACTGACACTCTGACCACCAACATATGCAAGTTTGCAATTCGGACCGGCGGGTATTTGAGAAGTCTCAAAGAGTAGGAGATGTGTTCTGAGTAGAGCTTCAGATTATTTGTGATGATGGTTGAGTGGATATTGATTAACTCTCCTGCTCAAAAAGGCTTAGGAAATACAGGCCCCAGGTCACACAAAACATCAGTTTAGGACAGTAATTCTTTTTTTAATTTTTTTTTTTTAAACAGTATGGTTATTAACAGTGTAGCATATGGATGACATCATAGAATCATTTGAATATAAAGGGCTTCTCTGACTGTCTGTAATGCTTTAAAATGCTGTTCAACATGCTTTCCCTGGGATTATTTGGATTTGATTTGGATCTTTAATGCACAGGGGGAAATGCCTGATTTTGGCTTTTCTTAATTTAAGGCTATTCATTTCTATTTGGCTAAACCGCCACCTGGGGGACTGAGAGTTATAGGAGTGACATCTCTTCACGGTAATATTGAACTTAAAGGGGAACACCACTCAGTTTGGGAGATTTCTCGATCTAGGGTCATAAAAACCGGCAGCATCTTCCAGAAACACACTCTCTCTCTGTCTCTCTCTTGCACAGAGATGACCCATAATGTCTGGCGGTGTGTCAAAGACAATGAATTAGAAAGCTGATAACAATAATGCAAATAAAAAATAAAAAAAAGACATTCAGGTATAAAACATAAGCTGAAAGTTGAATAAAACTAGTTTTCCTTGTCAGGTGACAACAGAAATTAAGTGTATTTTTAGATGTGAGTGGCAATCCCCCTTAATAAGTGTACCTAACAGGTTGGAAAACAGTACAGTACAACAGACAGAGACACATTTCTGAGCACAGTTCTATTAAAAGCAACAGGTTATAAAACGTTGACATCAAGATCATCAAAAGGACGTGCTGTACATTGAGTGACAACAGCCTCCCTTCTCTACCTCAGTCGTGAACATGACATGAGATTATCACGTTCTGTGTGCAAATAGAGTGAACACCAAACATGCGTGGCGCAACTCTAATGCTACTGACTGATTATGCAGAGCTACATTGATAGTGGTGGCGGGGGAAAAAGCTTTTACTGTGTAAGACAAACCGACGAAACAAGGTGGCTCCTGCATGATATTGTCAAGAGAAAAGCATTTCTTAACTGATTTTTTCCTTTGCTTGTAATGACCCACCAAAATACCACACCACAGTAACCCACGACTGAAGACCACTTGAAATGGTCCAGACTTCCCCCACGTCCCCATACCACCAATGTCTCACAGACGCAGTGGTCCTTAGTCAAGTCTGACCTCCTCTGACCCTGCAACTCTTCAAGCCCAGGTGTAGGGTCTACTATGCCTCTCTCATGCAGGGCAATGGACCCCAAAGTGGCAGGGGCTGGTGCAGGCTCAGCCCCCACCCCCCTAAAAAAAATGAAGCGCTCAAAGCTGGTGGGAAGAAAAGAACGTAAAGGGGTGAAAAGAAAACATAAAAATGTGGCCCATCCTTGGAGCTGCTCTCAGCTCCAGCCCTGATGGTGTGTTTAGGTTGGCAATGGGTCGTCATCGCCTTTGCTGCACTTGCACTTGCAGCAGAGGACGATGGGAGTGGCCAGAAGGAGGAACGGGGAAGCAACCAGCAGGAGCAGACCAAAGCCAGCAAAGATCCCCACAACCTGCAGGGAGACATCAGGAAAGATTAAATACATTGATTTAATTTTAATAATTTTTTAAAATTAATAATTTTAATTTTATTTTCTTCATACAGTAGCAGCTGCATGTAGGGGTTTGGTGCAGTGATGTTACGGCAGACTACTTGTTAGCATCATCCTACAGAGCACAAGTAAAGTAAGGCACTGAAACACTTTGGTGCAATATATTACTTTTTTATTTAAATTTCAGTTTCACAAACTCTCATCTTGAATCCTTCCAATCAACTGCAATACCATATTTTGGCCTGCAGACGGCACACAATGCTTCAAAATGCTTTAGAAAGCTTTGTAGCTCAGTAACTTGACAATTTGAGGCATATTTTTTTTCGCTTTCTGGATTCAGGGCCAGGACAAAGACATGCATATAAAGTGGCTGGCGGATTAAACTCGGGGACAGCCATGTTTGAGATGATGTACAAGATGCTGGCAACTACCACAGATGATCTTGGCAAATTTTCATGAATGTCTACCAATGTACTGTTTGCTTGCGGTTATGGACTGAGAGTGTTGCTACATCTTGTGACATAATCGTTAAATTGCCAAATCAACTGACATGCGGACTAGCTTGTAAGAGGCTTTACTGGTTCTCTGTCAACACCAGGAAAACTGCTGATGACCATTTGTTATTTGGGTAGTGAACAACTATATTCTGAATATATGGGATGGTCGGATAAACTATTAACATACCCTAACTAATCATGGATTAAAACGATATTATATGCAATGCTACCATTATCAAGGTAAAACAGAGATAATAAAGTTATTAATAATACATATATAATTTTACTGGCATGAGCGCAGCAAGATAGTTAGTAAGTTCACCACTTGAGGGAGCCAGACACCATCAAATTCAAAGCCACAAAATGGAATACATAACATCCAGTCACATGCAACAGTGACTTATAATAGCACAATGCTTTTCCTGCCGTTTTGAGGGCAAACACATCTTTTTGGGGGTATTGCTTGCAAGCAGGTTTCTGTCTGTTATTTAAGAACCCATTTAGTAACCCCCCTTCATTGAGCTAGTATACAGGCTGTGCTGTAGAAGAAATAGTGTATTGAGCACAATTTCCTTCATTTTAAAAGAGGTAAATGATGCTTACATGTTTAAGACATGACCTTCCTTGTAACTGATGGTAGGACTCTAATGGGAAAAGAGACCCCATGGTGGCAGATACAGACAGGGAGAGAAGATGGGTTTTTTTGCAGCATAGGTTTGCCTTGGTGCATCTTCAATTTATGAGGGAGTGAGAGGGAGGCTTTTTTTCCCTCGATGTGAAGGAACGAGGGGGGTGAAATAAGGAGAGCGAGAGAGAGACAAAGACACACAGAGCAGTGAAACTATAGCTGGCTTCCATCAGCTGAACTGTAATCATATGACTAAGCCTGCCCCACTGGGCAACAGATGCCAGTGTTTATGCTAATGTTGACAAAATAACAAGTATGTTGGACAAAGGGACGTGCCACCCCACGAATAGATTATTTGGCTAAGGAGAGATACTGAGGAAAGATTTGGGATCTGAACAGTAGAGTCAGCCTCTGTCATAGACTTAAAAGACAAATCACATGTGGGAAATTATATTTCCTATCTAATCCTTAATGTGTAATCCACCATTTCACCTGTGGGAAATTACATGTCATATCCAATCCTTTATAATCCATCATCTCACTCGGTTACCTATTGGTAAAGAAAAACCTCAGTTATGTAAAGTTTTTTTTAAGTGAAAGGTATGCATAATAAGCTTTGCTGGAAACAGCAGGAGACTGACCAGCAGACAGACATCGATGCACGCAGACATCAAGCTATCCTTTTCCTATTATGCTGTCAAGATAATACAAGCCCGTCACTGAATGTGAGCGTGTGAGCCAGAAAATGAAAAAGAGGCAGAACCAGGGAGCACGTGTATGTCCACATGCTGCAATGTGGTTAAAGGGGGGGATGGGTTTCTCACCTGTGTTCTGTGCCAGATAACAGACGCCCTGGAGTGGCCCAGTTTGTTTCGACAAGGCCCTTTGTCATAGTGGATCAGGAGAAAGTCATCCTGTCGCACAAACATACACACACACAATACAGATAAAGGTTGACCATTATCAGTCTGAAAGACACAGACAGATGTTCTAAGGAAATTGCTTTTTAAATGACCTGTGTGGTGCGGTCGTCTGTGCTCACACACAATTAAGATTACATAAGGCACCATGGCTCATAACCCCCCCCCCCATCTTATTCCTTTCTTATCAAGACTGACCAAGGTTGAGCTACAATTTCCTGATAATGAAAGCTATTGCTGTTGCAGGGAGACATGCAGGATTATCAGCATGCAAAACAGTTACATTATTACAATGTTTTAATATCATATTTAATAATATATATATATTAAACTGTAGAGGTTTTTAGAGCTTGAAAAATGCATAATCTTGCTCTCTACTGCAGTGAATATCAAGGTATAAAGAAATTATGAAGAGCAAACTCACATCCAGAGACTCCAGACAGTACCAGCAGAAGGCATGTTTGCAGTTCTTGCACATCATCTGAGCACAGCCCTCGTCCCTTTCGATGTAAACTTTACATTTAGGACAGCGCTTGATTGGTGCATCATCCTCTTCGTTCTTGTAGAAAGAGCTGGGAAGGAAAGACACACATAAACCTGATGTTTTTTTTTAAATTTTATTCCAAACAGGACATTAAAATCCAAAATCAATCAACAAGGGATTCAGCAACTTGGGATGAGATTGCTTTAATGCAGTAATCAATATTTACAATCGTTGGTGTAACAGGACTGTGTGAACCAGTCGTTAGCGTTGGTGCAGGATCTCACAACACTTAAAAATATAGATATGATAAAAATCACTAAATGCCTTTGAACTATCTCCCACGCTCTTATTCCTTCCTCATGTTGGTGTCAGTTTGCCTGTATCCCTTTCTCTTGTTTCATTAAAATGCTGACCTCTGAAATGTGGGGGTGAGCAGGTAGCTGTCATTATTGGTATTGTCCTAGAATAGCAAACAAGCTCACTCATTTTCTAGAGTAGGGGGGCATTAAATGAGGAGGTTCAGAGTTTCCCCAGTCCTTTTCTTCAAAGAAATAATAAAATACTTGGGGCGTAAAGACGAATCAGAGTCAGACATCCTTTTACAGACATCCTTGTGGTGAACAAGTGTACTTAAAACACCGGAGGCTCTTTATAAGAGCAGACCTGTTAATCCTTTCTCACTCCACAGTGGCCTTTGAGCTTGGTCCTGAACCTGTGCAGATAGAGGAAAGCTCTGCAGAGCTAATGCCGTTTCCACAGTAAGAGGATATTGCAAAGAAACGGGTCAGCTGCATGTCTCCGGGCAGCCCTCTTCTGCCCTCACAGACAGTTCCTGTATCCTTAAAATGAATAATAGGCTCATCCCAGACTGCTTTACTGCAGTTTAGTTTTAGCTGATTGTTTTATATCTGCCTATTACTTTGTGCTTGAGCCTTGGCGGATGCTCAGCTGAGTAGTGGCTATGAAACTGCCAGCCCGACCGGCTGTCAGTCCGTATTTAAGGACGCACCGAATGAATCCTGCTGTATATTGACAAGCGGCTCTGAGCTCCAGTTCTGAGAAAATGGGTATCAATTCCAGGTATTGCATCTACAGAGGCTTTACAGCAGCAGGTATGTCAGAGCATTTCAAATGTTATAATATAGCTTTTAAAAGGTTGAAAAAGTAGTAAAAACACTCAATGTAAGATTACTACACGACTGGATATTACTGGTGTATAAATTATACTTAAGTAATCAACTTATTTACTTAGTTGTTAAAAATGCTATTGATATTTGTGTTTAAAATAATAATCACTTATGGAAATTATTTTACATCTACAAATTATATTCTTGACCAATTTCAAGGGTTATTTCATAATGTTATCCAGTAGTTAATACTAGGGCTTCAACTAATTATAATTTTCTGATTAATTTATTAATTATTTTCCTGAATATGGTCCATAAAATGTCAGTAAAAAAAAATCTGAATTTCTAAAAGCCCAAGTTGACATAGTAAAATTGTTTATGAACCAAGATATTTAGTTAAATATCATAAAAATTTTAACTTTTGCTCTGCTAGAACTTTACAGTTGCTCAAAGCCTTAAAAGGCTCTCCAGGAGAGAAACATGTATGAATGTGGTGATTATAAAGTTTAAAGATAAAGAAATTGAGAAAACAAGAATGCAAAATGCAAAATCTTAAAAAGGGATGAACGCATGAAGGGCAGTACCTGTTTTCTCCTGGTAGGAAGGAGGTAATGGGCAAGTTGTTCTCCTGGCAGGCCTGCCCGGGGTGCCAGTTGGCCTTGCAGGCTGAGCAGAACTCGAGGGCACAGACGGCACACTGGACCAGCTGGGGCAGTGTTGGAGAATCTGCTTCCTTTAGCTGGCACACGGCCTGGCAGGTCGAGGAAGGGCACCAAGTCCGGCAGGGATCCAGCAGCACCTCTAATGGCACAAAATAAAAGGGCCAGCGTCATAGACAGTAGCTTTCTTAAAGGGTTAGTAAACCCAAATCACAGAGAAATTGTTTTTATTCTGACCTGTTGTAACTTTTAAAGATTAATTTTGGTGCTTTCTTATGTTGGAAAATTGCTTTTAAACAATTGTTAATTCAATTGGACTTTATTGGCATTGGAAACAGACATCTACACTGCTAAAGCAAATGTGAGATAAAACCATGTACATAAACAGAACAATTGTGCTATTAACAAAAAGGTGCGTCTAGGAGTGTCGGGCAAGTTACTCAGTATTTGTGATAAATTACGTTTTATTTATTACTCCTTCCAAAAGTAATAATATTACTTTTCTTATTACTTAAAAAGTACCTGTCGAACAGTCTTTTGGTTGCCATGAATTTTAAATTTTTCTGTATCTCCCCCCTTGCCTTTCTGCCAAGAACTCGGAGCACAAAATCCACATGCACTCTTTGCTCAGCCTGAGAAATATGGAACAGTTACAGAAACTGTTCCGCCTGACTGGACAGGGACACTGATGAGACATCTGACTGCCCTTATCCTGGCAGCATCAGCAGCAGTTTCTGAGGCATTCTGAGGATTTTTATTCTCCCTCTGTGTTCCCATACATGTCATTGTCTGTGTTTATGCATTCATTTTTTGCAAGTGAGATCTGCATGTTTTGTGTACAGCTTGTGTGCCTGTGTAGGTGGAGAACCTGTGGGGCGAGTACCATCAAAGAGTGACGGCAGGGCTTGATTAATGTTTTCTCTGGTAGCGAGGGAACTATTACTGATTAGCATGTCTGCAGCACGGAGCGAAGCAACATCGACCTGCCATTATTTTTCCAGCCCTGATATCCAAGCCTTTTAGCATTAGGTTGACATTTATTCTACAAACAGTGTAAACTGCAGACGTTGAACACATAGCTGCACATTGAAGCAGAGATAAAAAAAGGTTTGACAAAAATATCTTACTATGGTAAGAGACCTGCCTCCATCAGAGTCAGACAGTTTACGAGTCTAGAGCTGAACCGATCCAATTAGAAAATTCTGGGAAAATTCAAAGTCTGGGAGGCTTTCCCTTTCGTGCATATTTGATAGGAGCTGGTGTTACACTGTGATGAGGATTACAGGGTTGAGTCAGAATACTATAGTGCAAATCAAACAAATGTTAGGCCAGACAACCTGTCATTGGAATATCCTTGCCTACATGACTACTTGGAGTTCACAAATGGTATTGAGATTGTATCCATAATTTTTGGTGTCAGAAGTCAAAATTAAAACACTTATTTCTGAATCAGTTGACTGCTGTTCAGAGCTGACATGGTGAACTGCGTGGAGAGAAAGCAAACCGGTCAGCGTTGAAGTTTGAAATTTACTGAGCGAACAAGCATTGCTCCAATCTTTTCCATTAGCTTTCCACAGATACCCCATGGCGTAATTCAATAGCAAAAATGTCCACAAGGGGTAAAGATTGATTTCAGGCAGAGCGGACAGCAGTTTGGCTACACACTTGCAAGACGGGGTTGTTGTCATCCTTTTGTGTGTCACAGTAAAATACAGTATCCCTGTCTGTGACACACAGTCATTGCCCACACATCACCCACAGAGAAACTCATGCGATAACGCTGACGTACTGCGGCTGCTTTTGCCTTGACTCACCCCTTTCAAACTGAAGCGTCTTGTATCTCTGCATCATCTCCGTGGCCACCATGCACTCAATCTGCAGGGAGAGAGGAGAAGAGAAGTGGGAGGGGAAATAAGCAGGTCATTGCGCATATTTATAGACAGAAACTGCGAGGAGCAATTACACATTCAGCATGTGAATATAATTTCCAGAACAATGTCACATTCAAATTTATACAAGACCAGAACGTGCAACTTGCTTACCAATAAGGTCCTATGCCACTCTCAGGAAGAAAAAGAGAATCTAATTGCCAGAATGTATTCAAGGTGCATACACAGACCCGTTCAAGGTTAAATGTTCTCATTTATTGGGCAATGAAATAAGCATTCAGGCAGTCAATTACAAGGTGAGGGCACTGCTGTCAGAGCAGACGGGATAAGGCATGCTATGCCTGACTGGCAGGAGTTGCTGGGGTTCCATTAAGGGCCAGTGACACTGATTGATTAGAAACATAAGGCTGTGGTGTGCTGAACAATGCAGTGCCAACGGGCTTCCGAGACCAAGTGAGAGAGTGAGCGAGTCCATCAACCAAATTTGCCCGAAGGATGAGGAGCTCTTTGCTCTCAGATTGACCTTCTGCGAGGAAGACAGACATGCTCATTATAATGGAATAAACACACTGGCAGGTGGAGTGCAGTTGTCATCTTGACTAAAGCTAGAGCTTTGAGGGGGAGTATATGTGTGTTAAACAAACTGCAACTAACATGTTGGTTTAACCAACACATACGTTTTTATTTAGGATGAAAAGGAGCAGCATGGTAGAAGATTCAAGACATGGAAGACAATAATCTGTAGAGGTAAAGCGCCACTTGCTCATTTCAAGCACATGCTTGAGCAGTTCTGCACGTGCTGTATTTCATGCTTGTTTTTGTAAATTTTGTACACCACTGTGTGAAAATAAAAAGTGGCCTCAGACCTAAGCTAAGACATACTGGACATTATTTGACATGTTCATGAGCCTGAGGAGCTGCAGGGGATTCTCCGACATTGGCCAACCAGTCACCAACTAAAGGACGCATTCATCTAATGATGATCAAAGAACAAAAATCTGACATTTTCTTTTGTCAATACCTCATTTTCCTGCAAGTGTCCTCTTTTGGGACAGGCAGAGTCTGGACAGCTAATTGCAGTTTCAAGGCCTTCTTTAATCAGGAGTTCCACATACTGCTTCAGGCACTGAGGGAGAAACAAATAGACAGAAAGACAAATACATCATTGACTTAGTTCAATATCCAGTTAGATGGAAAAAACAGACCATGCACCAAAAAAGGTGGTAAACACTGGCTCATGGGTCTCTCTTGTTATCTCAGTCTGTCACCTCAGGCAGAAAGGAATGAATAATTGGTGAATGTGTATATCTTGAAAATATTAAAAATAAAAGCGACACTAATTAATATTTCTACACTAACAATGGGTCAAAAGACTAACTGTAATGTGAACGGGTTTGCTGGCAGTGACAAACCTACTACAAGTATCACCTCACACTATAGTTCTATGGTGCATTTTAGTTTTTTTTAATTTCAATGTTTTGGTTTTACGGCCGCAACATTACTGTTTTGATTCAGTCTCACTGCTCTCATAAACCCCATTTCAAGTTGCATTTGAAGCATATAACTTCTTTTATCTCTTTTAGGGGAGTCTTTGGTTGCAAATTTATATTCATGAAACAACCAGTGGCTGATCCTTTACAATGCTGAAAAATCCAAAAGATTGAGTAAGATTTAATTAAACATCCATTAAAAAGACAGACATCAGCATTTTTATTAGCCTCTATTCTATGTTCATTTATTTCGCTGCACTGCGTGTGTTGTTCTCTATTTTTATAGCAAAATGTAACAGAGGGAATATCAGTATCAAATATCAAATGGTTGATTAAAAAAAAGGAGCTGAAGTGAGACAGCAGTCATTCTTTGTGTTTACATTGTGCTTGACCTCTGTGGTAACTGAACTTTGGTCATGCACAATGACCAAATGCCGCCACCCAGACTGTGCTCTAGCAAGTAACTTCTATTTTTACTGGTCATTCTTGTGTATTGTTTCCTAATCTCCGGACCAGAGTGGTTAAGATCTGACAGGCAATGGGTGTAACTATTCCTCTGTCCCAGACTTTTTCACATGGGTCCAGTCTGATCCCAAGGCCAGTGTTTCCCCTATATGCATTCAGGAGCGGCGGTGCGCCCCTGCCAGAGTTCAATTGTCTGTAACTTTTTGGACACGACGCAAAGCTCAAATCATTGGAAGAGAGACTGATCCTCCCCGTTTGTGAGTTTCCAGGATCTGTTACAGTTTACTAAATAATTATCAGGACATCAACAGGAGGGAATTGGCATGACAGAGCACCCCCGCAAATTCAATTCCGAATCGGGAGGTGCACGTGCGTAGCAGAAAGTGATGGTGAACGTGAGCGGAGGAAAATATTCTGGCAGTAAATGTATGTGTCGGTTATAGTGTCAACTTCTCAAGACCAAGAAAAGTCCGTCTGTTGTTCACCCCCCTGCTAGAAAAAGTGAAACCTCTTTGCGCTAAGTTAGCAAACATCTCCCCTTCCCCTTCAGACTGCGCAGCTGAGCAGGAAAGCTTCTACAGTAGGCCACGTCTTTAGCTGATATGTAACTTAACATTAGATCAATTTATAGAGAGTAACAGGTAGCTGTATTTTATTACTACCTACTTGTCCAATGTTTAGAACATCAGGTACAAACTAAGACTAAACTGGTGTAACCTACAGCTCTGTCCTGTACAGACAGGTACATCCTAAATTGTTTTTCAGGTGAGTGTGAAAAAGTGGTTGTCAGGAAAAGAAAGAATGGTGGTGACTGGAGGAGTTGAGGTTAGTAAAGCAAATTAGTGATGCAAACTAGTCCTTTTAAGCTAATGAGGAAACGTTTCTTTTTGGATTTTAATGTGCAAATAAAATGCACCTCAAAAGGGAGGCGGTTTCTCATGTTGCCTATTTTTTATATTAATGTCTACAGATATGTATCTATATTGATTCTGAGGTCATTAACAGGGTTTTAGGGGGTGATGCCCAAAACATGCTGTGCCATGAATGTAAAATCACTGTGGAAAGCATCAGAACCAACCAAATAACTTTGGCCAAATCTAAAGGTTGTAGTTCCTCCCCCAGTAGACTGATCTTTGGGTGTTGGTTATTTATTATCTGCTCTAGCTTTTCCACCTACTTGTTCAGAGATATGGTGAAAATAATGGCCCAAGATGATGTGAAATTACACATTTTTCATTGGAAAATTTTCTTGGGGGAGGACCCCTAAACCCCAACCACGACCAACACCAAAACAATCTTCTAAAGCTCACAAAAACCTATGGGAAAACACTGATATTTTAACTATTGTAATGTGCATCGCATGCTCATACACAATAGCAATACTGCTGAGACATGTTGTGTTGGGGTTTTATATTCAGACATACTACGCACTACGAGCACAAAAAATGTTTTGCTTCAGCTCCGCTGCTACAACTCCATCCTAGGGGAACACTGCAAGGCTGATTTATTTACAGTGAAAATCCTGCGTCCTTTTGGTGACTTCTACTCGTTGAAACATATTTTTTAAATATAGTATTAAACTTGATTTGTGGATCATTCATTTTTATTCAAGTCATCATTTTGTTGCCAGCTTCAGGAAATGTGTTGCTGTTTGCAACGTGTCCTGCTCACCAGTGTACAGAAGACGCATTGGCACTGTGTGATGGTGGTCATCTGCTCCAGAGGGAACTCTCCAAGGCACAGCTTACATGAGACCAGCGGGTCCACGGCCAGCTCCCAGGTGGGACGGTACCGTGCCGTGGTCATCTTCACCGCCACCGAGCTGAAACACAAAAAGAAAGACAATAAGAGGGGAGGAAGATGAGAGGGGGAAAGGGCAGAGAGTTACCATTAATGAATCCAAATGCATCGTGAAACTACTAAGTGCAGATCTCCGCTAGCTGCGTCTGGGAGCATGTGGGTGGGGAACAGAGAGTGCAGGACAGGATGTGTGTCCAGCGTGTATGCATGAGAGCAGTAGAATGAAGGGGAGAAAGTGTTTTTGTTTAGTGTAAGTTGCTTATGATTTCTGAAGATGACATTTAAATTTAAGTTACGTTTTAGTCTCAGTTTTCCTTAAGATAACTTGAATAGAGTAATGGTGTTGTGACTGAGCATCCTGGGCTCGCTTAAATTTATAAACAGTAATAACTGGGACGATAAGTCCAAACTTCTGAATTTAAATGTGATTATTTATTTAGAACATTTTTGTTGAAACACTACACAAAATAAAACACCTCCCATACAAAGAAGAGTTGAATCTCTCTCAGTTGTCCCTCCCGACTCCCTTACAGACAAGACGGCAACAAAGATTTAAAAAAATTTATTTATTTATTTAGCTGGTATTTTGTCTAACTTCACTGGATCACAACATATTGAGTATATAATTAATCTGCAGATGCTTCAGTTCAAGATGTGACCAAACTTTTCTATGCATGTCCGTTTTTGATATGTGGCCTGCAACAGACTAGGTAAGCCTTGTTTTTAGCCTAGCCGATTGCTGGAAATACATTTTCCTATGTCGTAACGCATATTGTAAAACGGCAAGAAATTAAGTTCTTGAGCATACAATTATAAATGTGCACAAAAATATTAGGCTAATGGGTCCAGAAGTATGCATATTAGCTGCCGACAGATACACACACACATACATGACCAAACGTATCATCCCTTCCAGGCTTACATCTGGCGAAGATTAATAAAGTGAACAAGGTAGAATGGGTAGTTCTCATAATCCTGCTGATGACAAAGGAAATCCTTCAAGTGAGAATATATGTGGCTCTAAGATGTGCTTTATTTGCGGTGATACAATCAGCATGACAGTATAAGCACAGACTGAAAATGCATTTTCAGGGGGCACACTCACACACAGGCCGGCTGTATGGCACCAGCCCTCTGCATAAATGGCCCTTGTCAGCGGTGTTCATTTTTATTCCAGGCCTCATGCTTCCTGGCAGTAAAAAAAACATTAAAGAAAATATAGTTCAAATGCTCCTGAAACTCTGATCCTCCTGAAACTGTAGCCATCAGCTATCTCAGCTCCTTCTGAAATTTTCACTTGGGATGAAATACCACTTTTTTTTTTTTTACACTTCACTGCGCGTCATTGCATCTCTTTTGTGAGAGTCGGAGAGGGTTATTTTAGGCCGTCTCGTCTCACTCTCTTCTTCCCTCAGTAGCTGAGAGCAAAGAGCACCCACTCGGCTGTTTACAGGAAGTGCGTACACACACACACACACACACACACACACACACACACACACACACACACACACAATCAAGCTCTGCCTGTGCTGCTTAGCAACGGACTGAAGGAGGATTTTGGAGGGGGCAATGGATAGGAGGGAGAGAGAGAAGCATGGCAGAAGAGAGGAGACGGGGAGTGATCACAGTTTGCTTTCACTGGCCAGGATACAGTCGGCCTCAATGTGCAGCTGCCTGTTCACAGACGTACAGGAACAGGGCAGCGAGTGGGAGGAGAGGGGCTGAACAGTTCACATGATTGCTCCATGGACTCTTGTGCAGTCTACATGCGACACCCAGAGAGGGGAGTGGAGAGAAAAAGAGACAGTCAGTGTGTTATGGTTTAGCAGAGAGACGATATCTCTTCACACCACCCCTCTTAACAACACATTTAATCGTTTAAAAGGAAAATGCAGGCCGTTTCATCCACCGTGGATCAGCTTCATTAGGGTGCCAGGTGAAGGCAATCCACAGATGATTCATGCTAGAGAAAAAATAATAATAATGACACAGAGACTTATACAGTCTGTGGTAATGGGGCAAAACAAGGGAGTCATGTGATGGGCTGTAGCCTTTGGTGCAAGGAGCTTTCATATCTTGGTCATCATTAGCAAGATGGCATCCCACAAATTTAACATGAATGTTAGCACAGTCAAGATTAGGCAAATTATTTTATTTAGAATATTTTTATCTGGTCCCATTGCTGACATGCGTCTGGCGTCTTCTTTCAGTAATAAACACATTTTGATTGTCTGCAAGTGTAGTTCCCCGTTTAGTCACATAGAAGAAATTAATCATTTTGGGCAGAAACACCATCATTTCATTCTTTTCCTTAAAAGATTACTTAACTAGTTCAACAGACTCATCATACTCACAATTATTTAGTGATGAATTTACAAGCGGAAAGACTGTGTAAGTCAGCGTGAATAACTCAAGATGCAAATATAGGAAGGAAGCTGCTCATTAGAAAGTGCAGATTTAAGTGACAATATGCAAAATATTTCAATATACATTCCATTATTTGTGTAAACAAAGACTCTAAGGCAACAAGATGCTACAGAGCAGCTACAAGCTCATTCTCAGCTGATGCAGCTGTGATGTCCCTTCCAGTGATGCTCGACTAGGAAAAATGTGTCATTTGATAAAATCTGTTCGCCTGAATTCTTCCTCCTTCGCCTCTCTTCATCGTGTCTTAAGTAGGAGGACCAAGGAGAAAACTGAAAAGTGAGAAAAACTGAAGAGGGAAAATAAGGAAAAAATGAGATGCACCTCATGTCTGACTCACTCAGATCACCTGGCATTCATCCAGCTATCCATCACACTGACCAGAAAGCACTGAGCAGTGCAGACTCTATTATGTAGGTGCTGCCGAACTCGTATACAAAAGCTTAAATAGCAATTTCTTATCAGGATGGAGCCAAGGACTTACTGAAATGACCCCCAGGGTAGAGTGTGGGAGGCTGTGTGCTTCGGTGGTCCATAATAACACATGAAAGACTTTACCACTGAAGCAATTAAATTGGAAATACAGCCCCACAGGTGAGCCAGAAGTACAGGTTACAGGTGCATCAGTCATAAAAACTGGGTAATGATTTAATGTAGCAGTAGAAATGGTCTCACAAATTTTAACATTATTCTGCAAACATGGACAAACTTCACAGGCAAAGAGGATGACATTGGAAGTCAGAGTTAAATTAGAGGACTGTGACAGACACTTCACAGGAAAGGTGCTAAACACCAACAACTATCTCAGCACTGCTGTGGTACAGTCTCAAAGCTGTGTAGCGGACGACTTGAATGACAGCAGTTCCACAAGGAATGAAATTAGCCTGTTTCTTTATCTGTCTCCTTGTCCGAGCTACTGAACCCCATTAGCCCTGAGGCAAAAAAAACCAAACCGGATGGTAAAAAGTATTTCACACTGCACAGAGCAGGGCTTTCTGATACATTTAAAACCGTTTCTCTCCTCCCAGACTTTATATTGGTTGTGCAAATGCAGACAGACTGGGTCGATGGGGACAAATGAAATTGTTTAGTAAGGATGGCCCAAGGAGAGGAGAGGATGGGAGGGAGAGAGAAAGAGCAACAAAGGGAAAATGAGTTTTCATGAGAAAAGGTGGTGCAGTGCCCCCCTCGCTGCATTATTAACTAGATGTTCCATTATCACTGAGAAACACGCACATCCCGATAAATGGGACAGTGCATGCAGGCCTGTGGGGCTCTATGTGTGCTGCTATATGTCTGAAAAGGTCGGTCAGAGTGCTAAAAATCAATAAGGCGGGAGTCAGTAGTGAGTCAGAGGTCAAACATCCATCTTGAGCGGTGGTCAACATGTGACAGTCATCAGTCTGAGGGGCCTCCACTCATAGCTTAACAGGCTACAGCAGCACTCATGCGATAAGGACTCCATATCCAGAAAAAAAAAACACACACACACACACACACACACACACACACACTCTATTGCATAAGAGGGGTGGAAATGGTCATGGAGGAGCAATTGAGGAGAATGCCTCTAGGGACCTCGAAGTAAAAAGGATTTCTTGCTGCAGTATACATGATGCATCTGCATCACATGTTGTGCAAAATAAAGGTCACTTTAAAGTAGGGCTGGGGGATATGGCCAAAAATATTATCACGAAAAAAAATAAATTCATTCAATCAATCAATCAATATCGATAACTATCACAATAAATGTCAAATCATTATTTCTTCCAAGTTTAAAGGCTGATTTTTGCTCCTGAGTGAAAATTGAAGAAACCAGATTGTGTGGTTAAACAATTCTTCACGGTCAGAATGTGGCAAACACTTTATTCCAAACAGTGGATCACTTCACAAATCTGAGGTAGAACATTCCAAACATTTAAAAAATATATATAATTAGTTAATCTTTTTTCAGTCCTTTTCCTCAACAAAATAATTATCTTAATAGAAAAATTAAGTGCTAATTAGTTCAAGTTAATTAAATCAAACATTTATTGATGATTTATTGAACATTCGTTTTATTCTTATTGAGGAAAATTATATTGCACACACACCCCAACAGTAACAGGCAGCAAACCTAGCTTTAGCCCTAAACCCATGGCTAATTCTAATAATAAATGTAAATTTGCCAGAAACTCAATAAATGTCCTCACTCTGGTGATGTCAACCTTTAACTGCTACCATAATAGAAGACCATACTTATAGTATATAAGCATTCATTCAACACTCATTATATTGTGGGAATTATACTGTGCCTCCATATGTCCTTATTTTTCTAGTAGGTCTGATTAAAAACACCCTTAGTGTTTTTGCTGTTCCTCTGTCAGTATCTACACAAGAGACAAGTCCCAGTCTGCATTCAAGTGAGAGCAGATTTTCATATGCTACAACATGAAGCCTCACACTGCATGTGATGCAGGCTTCATATTCATGAGGAACCTCTCACACACACACACACACACACATAAAGCCAGTGGCGTCACTACATGCGAATCTGATGTTGTACTTTGCAGGAATGGTATGTTTGTATGTATGCAATTGCGAACACAGCCATTC